CAAGTACTAAGTACGTGATTCGAGGACAAGAATAATCATAACTACTATAGCAGATGACCTGAGACAAAATATGTTCAAATAGGTCGCCGTTACAACACAATCAAAGTCAGACAGCTGCCATACATCGAAAGGAGACTGCGACCAAACTAGAGATCACAACATCTTGGCCTCCATATTGAAGTTTAAAATTGTTTATTAATTGTTCCTAAATAGATTGGCAAGGTAGACAAGAGTTTCATTTTTATTTTTAATTAACAATACGTGCATCAGTCAAATTGGTACAAATCAAATAATGTTCGTGAAAAACCAGTATTATTGTATGAAAAATAGCATAAGTATAAGCCTTCTACTTATTCAGGGCAAACATTCTACTGAAATGAATATTGATGGGCTCAGTGTAGGTGCAAAGAATAGATTCAATGGATTGTTTTGGTAGACTTGTAGTCTTTAATTACATTCGAATTTTCAACAGTCACACAGGCTCGAGTAAAAAATTTGCTGATGCTTGAGCGAAAAATTCCAAGTAAATCTTAGCACAATTTCAGTAGCAAAATGGCTTTATAGGCCTTCAAGTTTATAATAAAGAATTTTATTATGAACAAAAGTAAAATGAGCAAGATTAATCACGCGGCTGTCCAGGAAGCTCGATACTATTTTTATTTTCCTGAAAAAAGTTAGCTCGACATTTTGGTCGCGTGAGAAGACGGCTGGTAGACAAGTTGTAAAGAACTTTTTTTTTAGTTTTACTTAAAAAGCGGCTTTTAAAATATTTATTTTTTAAACTAAGCTCTGGCCCATCCAATGCAGCTATTCTTACGGCATTAATTAAATGTTGGCATCTTGATCGGTGGGGATAGATTGTAGAATTTTAATATATCTGCAGTCTACTGTGTCGCCGCTTTAAGTGAATTGTAGTCGTACTACTTTTACGCTTTCTTACCAAAATCAATATTTGTCCCCTGATATCCCGTAAGTGCAGTTGATGGTTTGCCGGGCATGCCTTTGGTGGAAGCCATAGTATCCAAGAGACCACTAAGCGTGGAAAGAGAAGACGAATAGGGCAATGTTACTGGTTAGACGGTGAAATCTTTCTTGGTCATAGCAGCCACCGCACGGTCTGGGCAATCGTGTGATGTAGTGACGGCGGGCGTGGTTGTGTGTGTGGTTGACAGCATGTTTTTGAGGCCAAAATCACATTGGCCTCTACTGGGAAGGTGGATGTTGGCTAAATCCCTCGTTCCGGTCTACACGACGTGCGGCCGATTTTGACGCTCGCCTACAGACACACACGCACACTTCCCACTTTCTCGGGCGCCATGAAGAGACGGGATCTGATCGGAGAGCACTGATGCCAACGGGCTACTTATCCATGCAGCCGAGGGAGAGCAGACAACGTCGGCTCGGGACAGTTTGTGAAACGAAGAGGTTGCCTTAATCCGGCCAGGTTGGTCGCACCAGAGACTGGGCTTGGGATGCCACAGGCTTGTCCACCAATCAGAGCCCGGCTGGCCAGACACTGCCACATGATTGGCTCTGCCTGCAGATTGGCCAAGGGTATGGGCGTCTCGAC